GTACACAATTATCTATCGTGTTGGGCATCCCTCTCCCCTATTTCTTTCACTTGATACTGAAAAGACACAAGAAAAGAGCTGCTGTGCGCGTAAAAACGTTACCTATGTAAAAGTTGGTGACGGTCTTCATCTGCTGGTGCTTGGTGACCACATGGATGACCAGCGAGTTCCCGACCAAGCCCACCAGCATGATGAGGCTGAAGAAAGTGGGGACCAGCCAGGCGTCCACCAGCACCGGGGGCCCCTGGCCCTCTAGAGCTGCAGACTCGTTGCACGAAGACTCACAGTCTCCCAATGTCATCTTCACAAACCACAGCCAGGTGGAGATCTGTGGTACAGACAATATGTAAGTGGTCAAATCTGGGCTGATGTTATTATTATAATCTCAGCAAATGTAACTAAAAGATGATGACATCAAATTATAAATACATTTTATGCTTTTTCTGAATTGCTTCTCTTACCTGTGCTGTGCTGTTTGCTTCCACAGTGTTCCTCTCTCCACTATACAAAGCTTTTGTCCCGCGTTGGTCAGTGATGCGCTGCTCTTCTGTTCACTGCAGGTTTGAGATGAAAGCACTGTAACCCCCCACCATATATGGGGGGGGGGGGGGGGGGGGGTTGTTTGGATGAGACAGGGGACATTTGGCTCTGAGTGTTTATGTGAGAGCAAAAGAAAGAGCGACTGAGGTAGCTTTTAAACCTAATCTCCTTAATTAGCTGTAATTAGCCCAGGGCCCGGTGCCCTGTAAAATGACTGCAGCTAGATTGGAATCCTCTGAGCATCCAGAAGTTGCAATGTGTCTGCAGCTGAACAGTAAAATAGTGTAATGTTCAACATTGATGTCACAAAAGCCCCAGTTTATCCTTAACTCTTTTCCAGTTAAAGTCTGAATAATTATTTCCTTTGCCTTCCACTTCCTCTTGTGCATATGTCAATCTACTAAAGGTACAGCCTAGAGGCTCCCGTACCTTCGCAATTAATTTCATCAATACTGAACCATAGTGGTTCAAACAGGGAAATCATAAAAACAGGTACTTACCTGCAAACCAACATGAACATGAATCAGTCAGCTGGAGGTTGTGGTGACCGCCAGACGCCACAACAACAACAACAACAACCCGTTTTTATAGCTGTCATTACATCCTTCATGAGATTTGCTGCAGAGTAGCAAGTGCCAATTGCACAGCGGTACACAAGTGGAGATAAAAAGTGTTAAATTCAATGTTTACAGTTTGTTGTTTTGGAAGTTGTTTTTTTATGTATAGTTCTGGCCTTCAAACATATAAAACATGTACTTTAGAGAACCTGTCTGTGCAGGAACAAATATACATTTAGGTTAAATGTGTTGAGAGCTGCATTGTCATCCAGGGCTTCTGAGTACAGTTGCTCCTACCTATTATTTCCCTTTGGTAAAAAAAATAACAAATCTAAAAAAGGTTTGGGAAACTGAATGTTACAAAAAATGTACCACAAATAAAAACAAATCTGTTTTACATCTCTGCAAAATACCAAATGTAGACAGTGCCTTTAGTTTGGATTTGCGTTAGACTTAGATCATTTTTTACATACATGTGATTCTAATATTTGAACTTATGTCTCCTTAAGAAGTAATCATGTGTAACACATGTTTTGACTTTGTAAGTGCTATGTAAAAAAGTTAAAACAACAGACAAACTATCTCTTCTGGTTCCAGTTTGAGTTTATCGTTTCTGTTGGTTTGGATTAGTCGTCGCAAGCCTTTTTCCCAGCTGCTGCAAAGTTCCTTGTGACTCCAGACTTCTTTGAGGCACCTGAAAACAGCTTCCTCTGGAGGTCTGTCAAGTCCTCAAAGAACCATGCACTGGTCGGCCCTGGATCAGGATCAACATGACAATAGTTATAGAAGGATCTACAAATGATCTACTCAATGGTCTATGCACTAAAACATGGTCATTGTTTTAATTGCATTTGCTCCATATTGTAGTAGCTTTGTTTGCCATGATCATGAAATTAGTATCATTATGCAACCCCAGGAAAATGGTCTGTCTTCAGAATATCTATGTGTATTTATGAATGTTACGATTATTATTGACCGGATTGGGGATTCTGTTCAGGCAGTGTCCTCCTGGTCCGAGCCTGCACCCCGAGGATGTGTGGAAGAATCTCTCGCTCTTCAAGTCGCTCTCCAATACAGCCGACAGAGTCAGAGGGCAGCATCTTTTCTACCAGGTGAGCAGGAAAGACACATGTCGAGGATGGTAAACTGGGCTGCAGATGGTCCTCCTGAGAAGAGGCCACTGCAGTGCTGATGGGCGCAGGACGAGGGATTGGTAAACTCTCTTTCAGGAAGTCCCGCCTCTTAAACTGCCGCCTCGACAGCTGCCTGATGTGTTCAGGGAGGGTGGCTCTGGATCTAAAGGTCCCATTGGTTTTATAAGGGCCTGCCCCTGTGTTTGTCAGGGTGGAGAGGGACGTGCTGATGTTTCGGGGGTCAAAAGATGGAGATCTCCTCTCAGCCAAAGCCGCTAATAACTCTGAAATCTGAGAGAATAGCAGACACAGGTAGAGGGGGAGTTTCACAGAAATCTGACATAGAGACGAAATATTTAGGAACATTCTTCTAAAGCACATCAACCTCCAGCGACTTTTCTACTGTAATTCATACATCATAGTTCCCACAGAGGGTGGTTGTGTGTGTGTTTTTTTAAAGCAAACTTGATCTTATTGTCTTTGTCAACATATTGGACTTCATAGCTCAAATTGCACAAATCTAAATATATGTAAAGTAAAAGGGGTCCGTTGTAGTGAAAAACCAACATAGGACTATTACCGACTGTGCACTTCCAGTCTGACTATCAAGATCTTGAACGTCTTTGAGTTGTTTTGGTTCTCCGGCTGCAGCTTTACTCTTTTGGTTCACTTTCACCTTTTTATGAGCGCAATTTCTGCAAGCAACTGTTTAGTTTTCTGCAAGCAGCTGGTTTAGTTTCTACAAGCAGCTGGTTTAGTTTCTGAATACAAGGTTCTGGAAACCACCTCTTATCACTAAAACAAAGTTAGTGAGCATGCTGGAGCTTTTAGCTGCTAGATAGAGCTGTACAGTACGTGTCCCTTGTTGGTGGAGACCAATGATAGAGATACATTTAAATAGATAACTGGAATGCCAAGCATCAGGTGGAGAGTGTTTCTCTAACTTTAAACTTTACATGAATGCTAATATTACTTGGATGCAGCTGTAACTAACATCTCCGTCTTAACACATGTCAAAGTTTCATTCACAGCCTGTTCAGCAGTCCTTAAGTGGAAAAAGCAAACCTAATAATTATGTTATTTTCTAGATAACTTAAGCCAACACAACAGTATAACAGTTGATATGTTTTTTTAAATCAATCTGCACATCCTTCTTTACTCTAATTGATGATATCTCTCTAAACTACATTTTAGAGTTCACCTTGAAAATGTGGCCAAATTATAATACAGCAATAAATACTGTGTGTTCATTTGTTAACTACCTTGAGCTCATTAGGCTCTCTGTTGTCCAGCAGATCTCCATCCTTGTTTTGATTGTCCATGACCCCGAAGGACCTTCAAACATCGAACAGAGCAGCCACATGTTACTTCAGGAAGATGAACACCCTAAAATACGGGTTATTAACATATATATTTGAAAACCATGATACCTGCTTGTCCTTAGTTACTTCCCTGTTGACATTTCCATTTGGTTCCAACACTTGTGCTCTCACCATAACAACTGAGCCATCTCCGTGACAACTGGCCTGGTTTCTCCAATGATTACGTTTTTTCTGGCACAAACCCAAAAGTCACCCTGTCTCTTCATCCAACAATCTCTCTTTAAATAAATAAATAAACTCAATTTGATTTGCAAAAATAAATGCCATGATTTAAAAAAGGAACTCAGGTTGGAGAGGTAAATGTGGCATGGAAAAACTAGATTTCATGGATGTGAACATTACCTTCAATTTCAAATAAACAAAAGAATGAAATGTTGCAGGATATTTTTTGCGCATCATACCACATTTTTTTATTAGAAAGACTAGCCTACATATAATTGAACAAAATAACCTGAAAAGTTGTTTTAAAGTCATCAAAGGGTATTTTCAGCAGCAGTATCCACATTTTCTCCCCAAAAAACTATTATATGGAACAAAAACACATAACCATCGCAGGAATCTACCGTTGTTAATACCAGAATAAATATTTAAAGTGAAATAACTACTAATTAAAATAAGGATTATTTTACTTGTTACATTGACAAGATAAGCTCCCAATTAACAGTTCATCTCAGCGCAAGTTCTTTCAGGAAGACTGGGTATATATACATTCACTCCGCAGCTGCATATAATCAGCTCATCACGGGCGTTGTCTATAACCTATTTCATTCACCTCATTCTCCAGCAGCCAATCACTGTGCTGCAGCCAAACTTTAAAATGGTTCTCCTCTCTCCTGCACCCGCCTCCTCCCCATCCACCTCCTCCTCATCCACCTCCTTTCATCTTATCCAGTGCCAGGAGAGTTAATCCAAAGACCTCATCACACCTCCTCTTCATCCCATCTCCTCATCAAATCCAGATCTTCAGCATCATCACCAGTGTCTAGACCCTGGGGGGGTTCCCTATATGCTCACGGCTGCATTTCCCCCTTTAGATATACGATTTCAGGATCGGGGTCTAATCCCCAAAGACTTAACATTTATCATATGACGTGTCAATAAATGTTCTTTAAACAAAATGAAGTCTCTCCTGATTGAAATAACAAATGCATCGTTAATATAATACACTACGAGATTTTTTTTAAAGAAATGTGATTTTGCCTAACTTTTTAAAAACTATTTTATATTATTTGTCACAGTTCACATTATGTCCATATGCTACCCCCTTTTTTAATGTATCATCTAAAGAATAGAGATTATAATCTCATATAATGATCTCAAATGTTGTTTTGAGTTAGCTAAAAATCTGATTTAAAACTTAAAAACAGTGGCCACACAATTTCACATGACTGTATTTAGCTATTTATTATCACATATGTACAGAGACATATTGCACAGTACAAACACAAAGTCCTGGCTTTTCTCAAATAAATAAGAAACCAACATAAACCTCATGTGAGGGAATAATGTATTTTGTGCGTGATTTTTTACTTGTGTGCGTGGTTCAAGGGAGATACATTATTTATATTTACACAGAGAGATAAATATACACTTTACAAACTCATAAAAGCTTTTCCACTTTTGCATACTGCTGCTAACTTGCCACTGGGTGGTAGAACACTGTCTTACAGCGTGAAAGTTTTAAATTGTAGCAAATCACTTTTAATTAAAAAAAGTCCTGCTATTGAGGTCTTATAAGGTTTTTTTTAGACTCAGAGCCAAGCCAAAAAAGAGAGGTATCTGAACCTAAAATCAACAAGTCAAGATAGTTTAGACTACTACACAGATGGTATTAAAAACCTCCTCTAAGCATTATTATGCAATACTTGGCCTCCTCAAGTGTGTGTGTGTATGCGAGTCGCCTGCAGTCAGAGCGGTATAAGAGGAGCGCAGGCACGTCCACATCTCAGATGTCCTCATGTCCCACTTCCTCGCCAACATTCAGTGTCTCAGTCTTTATGGGCAGGACAGGGTACAGGAGCTCCACCATGCTCATATGTTGAAGCTCTCTCCACAGCCACACGTGCCCTTTATGTTGGGATTGTTGAAGACAAATTCACTGGACAGCTTGGACTCCACATAGTCCATCTCAGTGCCCAGAAGGGTCAGCTGAGCCTTCTTCTCTATGAACACCCTAACACCTGCAAGAGAAGCACAGTACAGCCGTCACCACTCGCAACTGCTTACCTAAATGTAGTATACGATACAACGTTACAATACGATGATATTTAAGACAAGATAAAAGGAAACAGACATTAACATAATATCACAGTCTAGTATATAGACTGAGTATGACACGTTCCCATCAGTAAAACAAACCTTCAAATTCAAAAAACACAATTTGAAATAAAACCTCTATGTGTAAGAATGGAAATAGGTCTGTCAATTGATTAAAATAAAAAACAATTCTAGTGAAACTCCAAATGTCTCAATCCCCTGTTTAATACCAAATAAATTAGTGTATATTCATTTCAATATTTGATTTCATTAAAAAAAAAACATCTCCGTCACACAACTGTACATATTCAAGTTCCTCCAAAAACTACATTTTATATTATTACGTTAGAACACATCATTTTAAGATGTACCTATGCTTAGTACTCTTTTTTTGTTTTACTGTAGACCTTGAAAGCCTCATCATGTTTCACCATGGCAATAACAGCTCATGTTAACTCATTCTCCTCTGCCCATGCCAATGAGTCAAACAATACAGCGGCAATAAAACGACTTACAGACATTAAAGGGTTGCCTTTGACAGCCCTAATTTGATCATGTCCATCTTCAGCAAACCTAGTTTTAGTATAAAAAAAAGCTACGTGGCAAAAAGCAATTTATGCTGTAATTCATTGTAAACAAATAAAGAGAGTTTAATGTATTAGATCTTTGTTCTGCCAGGCTTCCTGACCCCAACTTTTACATTTTATTACAAGGATAGCAAAACAATGAGATAAGGCTCACCATCTTGCAGTACTTCCTCATCAGATTTGTCTTTTTCCTTGGTGTAGTCCAGTGTGTAGGTCAGTCCATTACAGCCACGTGTTCTCACTCCGACCTTCATAGCGATCTATGAAGAACCAAACACAACGATATCACCATTCATTGTCAGGTATCCATTATAAATCCCTACTTTCAGTGCCGCATGAGACATTGTCTGACCACTGGCGAATGTGGCCAAGTTTGGTAACAGCAAAATAATAAATTCAGTGTGGAATAACAGATGTTTAATGATCGTCTGCTGCCACTTGATATCACTAAAGTACTTTAAAATCCTACTTCGAGAAATATGTTGCCTAAAAAACACACATAGGAAGTGAAAAGGGTGATTAACCTAATTATTCCATTATATATAAGGTTAAGATAACACAGTCCGATAAGTATACATTATTTTTGATTTATTGTAAATTGAAAATGTAATCCTAAAACCACACAGCACCCTGTGGCAGCACTGTTTGTCTGACAATATGATGTTCAAGGTCGTATCAGTTACTTACAAATTCAGGCTTGTTCTTCAACAGAAAACTGATCCTGTTCACAGCTGATGGAGTCTAAAGGAAACAGAATAGAAGATAAAAGGTTAATACAATATCGGATTCAGATGGAAGCAGTGCTTTTGTTTAAAAAACTGTAACTGTTTTTTGTTTGTCATACTTTTGCTCAATGTGCTTCATACAGTCCATGGTGCAGGTGTAGGTTTCTATGACTGTTTTGAATAGTTTTGCTCCCCACTGTGAGAACATTCTGTTGCCCAGGCAAGTACCAACACTATAACAATATAACACACCCCTGTAGCCCCTTGTGCAATTGAGTGGACATTATGTAAATATATTTAACATGTTCATAAAAATGCTCAACTTTTTACTGTGATATCTTGTTTCAATAGTTACTTTAGCTGTATTATTATTTGTATTTGTATTCTATTTTATCTTTACCTTGTGTGAATCCTGTTTTTCATTCCGACACTGTTGCTGCTATAAACAAATGAATTTCCAAGGGGATAAATAAAGTTCCATCTTATCTTATCTTATTAGCCACACAGTGCTAATTAATCCCTTAAAGCTGAGTGGAGCTGCTGATGCCAAATGTACAGCACATCTCAAATGTGTGACAGCCAGTTGTATAATGACCAAACTGTCAGCCAGTATTGAAAACCTAAACCCATCTCATTGTATAAATGAGATGTAATATTAACCATTATATCATGTGGTATGAGTATAATTATCTTTAGTCCCTGGCAGGTAAAGAAAATAACAACAGGAACCTATAATAACACATGTTCTGCTGTGTCATTGAGGGACTTCTTAACAGTTACCTCGGCACCAGGGACGTGCACAGGTACGGGCTAATGTTGCCCGGGCAACAGCCCGTTTGCCATTTTTGTCTGACCTGCGCCTCTGGAGAGAGCAAGAGTTTTTTGTTTTTTTCTATTGTGGCCGAATCAACATGATAAGCCCACAATTAGTATTGTAGCGTCTCGCTGCGGGAAACACACCTTGTCAGCGCTGTCATCTGCCCCAAGTCACGTGACTTTGTTTACAATCTGACAGCTGGAAGCAAAGGAAAGCCCTCCGGCCTCATATGGCTATGATGATCACACCAAATCCCTGCCTGGCGTTCGAGTATAGGGGACAAACCAGGGGACTTTACTTCCTCTTGACACCGTCGGTTATTTACAACAAAAAAACACCTAAATATGTTATTGTGCTTCTGTGTCTTTTACTCTGTAAACTACCTCAACGGGGCCGCTCGCTCTCTTTTCTTGATCGCCCTCTCAGAGAACACTTCACTGTCCCGCTTCATTGTAGGATTTCTGCCATGTCTCGACTTCAGTTTGACCACCTCTGTTATTAAGTTATGAAATACTAAATAAATAAGTAATTAGAGGCCCTTTTTCCAGTTTAGAGCAATAGCCCCTCCAAATGTCTATGCACGTCCCTGCTCGGCACTCTATCTTTTATCAGCTCGGACCACCAGTGCACACATTATCTGGCAACAACACCAACAGCAGGCTCGCCAGGCTGATATTAAACATCAGAACAGTTTTATCCCGCCCATTATAACAAACAGTCATTGTGCACTGACAAATTGCTACCCTGAATCTATTAGTTTACATTTAAAAACAACATTGTGTGATCTGCCACAAACGATTATTTCCTTTAGTCGTCAGCTAACAACAGTGAAGAGTGACAGTAAATGTCGGTTTGACGAGGGCAACATGCAATGATTGAGCTGGGTTGTTTTTTTTAACCTTTATTTAAGAAGGAAGGTTTCGTTGAGATTTTCAAGAGAGTCCTGGCCAAGATAGGCAGCAGCACAGTGACAGAACAAACATCTAAACATCGTAAAAAGCATCTACAGACAGCATTATCTTCTTCTCGGTCATTAAGCAGATTAACATAATATTGAATATTGAGGAAGCCCTTGTGCCCCATAGCATCTGTGCCTCAACTCGTTTACTCTGAACTTTAATAAATCACCCATCAGATCTGCTCACATCTATAACATATATTGCCCACATGGATGCCAAATATTCCCTAAAGATTTCTATAGATGTCAAAATATTAATATGCGGCTAACTGTAGCTGAACAAAAGCACATTACCCAACAACTTAGCTTAGCAAAGGTTAGCATCTAGTTCAGCCAAGGCCAGTTATATTCTTAGGACCGAGTGATTGTATAACCACCCTTGTGTGGCTAAAACAGATATAGGAACATCAACAAGCTGACATGTTATGTTGCAGGAAAGCTCGGCAAAGGTTGTACTTTACTGCGTGGAGCGTTCAAGTGACAGAAGGTTAGCTAGCTTACCTAATGCTGGATCACGTAACGTTCACGGGCGCAGGATGTTAACGCCACACTTTGTGTATTAACATGTATTGAATGCGAAGAAAACTGTTTAATGTGCGTTTATTAACAAAGCTAATGACTTACCAGTGTCAGTGCGGCTCTTGTAGGCAGAATCCTTCTTTTGCTGACCGCTCGGACGGTCGCTCGCACCATGGAGGCAGACATGTTGCTTCAGTAAAATCACAACATTGAATTGCGCAAGCGCGTAAGAAAATGGCCAACCGTCCAAAATAATGAGACCGTCAACGATTGGCTAAAACTATGACGGACAGATGTTTCAGCCAATGGGCTCACTGATAAACATCTATTCGTTGTGTAACCTACTTAGTTATTACTTTATGCGTCTCTGGGCACTTGAGTGGATTGTTTCGTTGTATTCTTGTACAATGAGGTACTTCATAAAACATTACTTTAAACCAGCGTTGTTTGCCTACCCAAAGTTTCCAAGGTCGATACATAACTTACACATACTCCATTGGGCAATTGTTTGTGGCAAAAAAGTCTTCTTGTAAACATGACACAGTGACTAGCTTGGACTAACTTTACTACTTCTGACAAAAATATAATAAAACTGAATAATCAAATAATTACTCGTGTAATAACACAGAACCAGTCCAGTTTATTGTAAAATATATTATTGTGACAGTTGTTGTGTTATTTAGCTGCTGTATTGGCAAAAATGTAATAAGCAAAGACGGAAGGAAAAACAAATAGTTATCATATCATATCAGTGTTGCCCGTTTTATCAGAGGTTGTGTTCCCCAAATGCATTGACAGTTTGACATCTAATCATTGTTTTGAGACAAAACAATTGTATTCAAAAAATATTCCACACTGGGTTTGGATTTTGAGTTTAATGAGTTCTTTGAGACACAAACTGGATTGCAAGCCGACTTTTCCTGGCAGGATTGGGGTTACTTAAAAACAAACTAAACCTCTCATTGAGTCCCAACAAAAGATATCCAATAAAGCTGGCATTAAAACAAAGCTACTTTAAAATGAGAAAGTTTGATTACAATACCACCAACAACACATTTCTTCTAATCAAATTCAGCCATTATAGGACAACAATAAAGCCAGATAGTCCATCTATGAAGTTGAATGATAAGCAGGTCTTTGAGACATTAAACTAGCAGCAACATAATTTAAGGGCATGTACCCTCACACAGTGCAGCTACCAATATGTGGCACCATTACAACAAAATGAAGCTTTTGTGGTAAATAAATACATTTATGTCTTCACTTAACTGAGATTACCTCTAGTTTTGTGTAAGCATGACACTTTTTGTCATGCTCTCTCAACGTTATGTTCTTGCACTAATGTTACAACGCTTCCTAGCATTTGTGGTGACACATACAGGTCAGGATAAGCAGAGGACAGCACAGTTTCACTGTCCTTCTGTTAACATAGGCAGTTGAGGGGCATGTATCTATGTAATAGGGGTGGATCAGCAATCACCAAAAATAAAACTATGATCCTGAAAAAATATGTACAGGGTGGTTTCTCCAACATAAAAACTTTCGATAGATTTGCTAGGCTGAAGAAGAGACGGACTGATGGACGTCAGTGCAGGACAAATTAACAGGATTTCAAAGAAAATGTGGTTAAAAAAATAAAAAATAAAAAAGATCCTTGCCACTACGTACACTGCCAATGAACATTTTCACATAACCTTTACTGTAATTTTTTGAGTTGAATCTCAAACATCTGAGGTGAGCTAAACTGAGCTTAAGTCGCTTTAAGGTAGCAGTCAAAACACTAAACCATGACCCTTTGTGTTACAGCTGTATCAGTGCTTATGGACACTTGGTCTTACCTTACTGTGACGACAGTTGCCAATACTGACAAAAAAAGGTTAGCATCAAGTATAACACAAATGTATTGTAGTCTACAAAATATGGACTATTACGTTGAGAAAATGAACTATTAGACATGAACTTGACACCTCTAAATAACTTACTTATTATAATTTAAGAGATTCTAAACTAAATCCGCAATGTAATAAGTATAAAACAAACTTGACTGGCAGTGTAGGCAAACAGACATGAGGTGCATGCATAATGGCTTCTCTTGTTAAAATGAAAGATTTAAAAAGCTCCTCCAGGGAGGACAGCTTTGGGGTGGGGTAGGGGGGGGAAACACATAAAAAGGCCCTATTTGGCTTCAAGTCAAGGCGTCCTGGCTTTGGCTTTTAACAGGCTCCCATTGGCCCAACAGTCCCATTGAGATTCAATGGTTTCTGAGACTTTGGGTTGCTTTCTGCCTGGACAAGAGAATAACCTTGTGGCTTGTGTAGCCACAGCTGCTGCTCATTCCACCGGACTCTTCCTGTGACCAGAGCGACCCGCATTTCGGGAGGCTAAACTACCTGAAATAGACCAGAAAGCAATTGTCAAAATTGATTCAAAAACATATTTTCAACCTGCACCAGAGCACCCGTTATAAAAAAAACATCCATCTTATCAGGCTAAATAACAAAACAAAACAGAACATGATGCCTCAACCTAATAAACTGAACGCTGGATTTTCTTTATTTTACGCTTTATTTGCAAAAAACCCATTTCAGGTTACAAGTTAGATCGCATAAAGAATATGTTGACTATATAGAAAGCAACTGAACACAACAGGAACAAAATGCTAATCTTTAGCAACTAGAGTTCAGAGGAAGATAGATAGACCTGAACCTGCGTCTTGCTTTCGTTTTCTCTTCTCAACAGCCCTAAGAAAAGTGGACCAAAATAAAAAACCAAACCCTGTCAACAGTTTTTACCGAGACCAATATCAGCTCAAAGTACAGAGCACTTTGTCTCCCTAAATTAATCACCGGGGGTGTACGAATAAAAATAAAGCAAATATGGTCTGACAATTTGTGTTCAAGAGAAAGCTGCCCCATAATGTGTTCTGATGGAAGAGGAGTACTTCATACATTTTCCAATCAGTGTTTAATTAGTTAGCCTATACATTCACAAACTGGTACCATCAGAATGAAACGTTGATTCCCTAAGGATCTAAACATTTAAGCAATTTCTTTGTACATACCCGCTTGTGGACTTAATATCACATTCTGTGGTTTTCTCTTCTTTTTCTCTTCTTGTAAAGGTGAACCCTGGAAAAGGGGAGATAAACAGAGGCACAGGTATAGTAGTGGGCATAAGCTGTCTCTGTTAGAAGAAACATGTTTCAAGAATATGAATCATTGGCTGTGACAAACGGATATCATACCTGTCTCTCCTTTTCTCTCACATTCCTCAAGTGGCCTGAAGAGGTGGAAGAAAAGCCATCCATCCTGGCATTTCCTACCAAATGAAAAAAAGAAGCGTCAATTGCGCCCTTTCAATCTTTATTAACATCAATGCATAAGATTTGATATTTCTTAATGCAATAGAAACCAAAGGACATTAACTAACAAGTTCAACTATGGAGTTAAAACAAATGTATTTTGGAAGGCCTTAATGCCATAGAAAAAAGAATCATACCTGCAGGGCTTCTGTACAGCTGACAGTCCTTCTTGATGTGGGAACTTGATCCACACAGGAAGCAGCAGCGCACTTCCTGTGCATCCCTTTTCCTCCAGTGCTCACCCCTGTGTCTGCCCTGGTCCTTGCCGTCCTCAGCTGTGTCTCTCATGTGATCTGGCCTTTTCTCAGAGTCCCTTCTGTGCCTGGACCTGGGATACAATTATCCAAAACATTATAAAAACATGTAGCATGATAGATGGTGAAGAAAAAACATTTATCATCACAGGGCCAAATCAGACATGTGATTATACGTACTTTTTGCGCAGGGGACAGTCTTTCATGAAGTGGCCGATCTTGCCACAGATGCGGCAGCAGCGGTCATTTGGAGCCACTTCTCCCTCAGTGAGAACTTCAGGATCAAAGAAATACTCCTGGGAGGAATAAGAACAAATCATTGTGAGACAAATCTGAGGCAAGTCCACCAAAACCTGCAACTGTGGTGTTCAGACAGCAAACACTAACCATCTTGCTGGGGTACACAGGAGGGAAAGCTTTGACTGGTGTGCCAAACACTGTCCTGCCGTTGATGAAGGCCTTCATGATGAAGTTAGTCACTGATTTGGTGAAAAAAAAACATTATATTAGATAAGCAACCAGAGACAAAGACATTGAGACAACAGTAGATACAGACAGAAATAAGCATACTTTTCCTGGACAGGCCAGCACCGAGATTATGATTCAGGTCAAACGGATCTGGGATTTGAACAGAGGAGGGAAAGCAAAACAAATGACAAATTAGAAGATATTTCAAAGAAGCCTCTTGAACCTTTGAATTCAGAAAACAAATTCCACAATACTAATAGGTAATAGTGATGTGGAGTTAACAAATTGGATAGACAGCAGGATGTATTAATGATTCCAAAGTGACAAAACTATTATTTCCACTTGATGGTGTTTAAGCCAGGATAAAAACTCCCTTGCATCTACCCAGTGGAATAATACTCATATGATTCTGTGTTATAATTTAATTGTACAAGTCTGGACCCTGAGCTGACCTTCAATGACGATGTATTTGGACGTCCACTGCTTGTTGAAGGTGGTGAGGCAGTTGTGCAGACGGTTACAGATCACTTGCTCTCTGAAGTCGAAGTCCTCGGTGTAAAAGCGGAGCAGGCCGAGCCACAGCTCCCCCACCGTCTCAGTATTCCCCCCACCCTGTGGCCAGCGACTGGGCTGCAGGTGGCAAAGGACAGGATTGGTCTATATTTAGGGCACGCTGTGATATGCATATTGACAACAATTTTCACAGAGGCACTAAGACACAATATGTTAATATCCAAAACACTCACAAGCGTTTTTAAATCATCAAAGAAGTACACGTTCCAGTCATCAACTAGCACCTCCGGCTTCTTCTTTCCATCGTAAATCTGCAACAAAAGTTGAGAAATTGAAAATGTAGAGTGTCTTGGGAATAATGTAAGAAATGCTTCAGTCTAGCGTTTGGGATGCAAAATATCAAATCATTTCAAACGTGTGAGTAAGTCTGCGATTTTAGGTAGTTTAGATTCCTACACATTGATCTAAGTTTGTGGGATAGGGTAATAAGTAAACATACATTTTAACCCATTTCTTTTTTTTAACAAACATGTCACTTGTACCTCTTGCAGCACCGGGATAACTGGTGGGTTTCTCTGCTGGAGAAAGAACAGCACCATGAGGGTGTAAGCGTAGGACGAGAGACTGCCGCGTGAAG